AACAAGCATAAAATTATTTTGATTAAAATATACTTAAGAATGTGCTCTACATTAAGGATGAAGCAAACAGCTTTGTAAGTTATCAGATTTAACCTACACACAAAATATCTTATCCTCTACTATGGAACCAGCCGTTTGTCACTAAAACTATGTGAAATAGGATGTGATCTACCCTGGAGTTGTGTCACATTGCTGCAAAATTTGCTGTTAATCAAATTAACCTGAAAGTCAGCATTGGCAGACCCTCAGCTTGTCTAAGATTTTGAATCTTTCAAGTCTAAATTATGGCATATAGTCCTAAAAGTATTGAGTGAATAAGAAGTAAAGGGGGACCCGCATGAGTAAGAATCTCGAAGGTAAAGTTATGTCTCTTCACCTTTCATTTTCACAGGAAATCACGCCAGTTGGGTTTTAGCATTCCTGCTTCCAAATAAGGAGGGGAAGGCTGTGGGTGGTGGGACGCAGTGGTGTGGGAGGGTACATTGTTGTCTATTAGTGGAATCAACCCTTTCAGTTGACAAAGACAACAACCGAATCTGTAGATGGTTTATTTGATCTGCGTGAAAGAGTGGCAGTGGGATTTCTGGCACTTGAATAAGCGGAAACAATATTTTTGGCTAGAGAGACTTCTGAGCTCTCTCAGGGAGCCTTCTAGAAGGCCATCTGGACCAAACAGTATTTCTTTTGTAAAGCTCTGCATTTGGAAACACAAATGAAAGGTGTGCGGGCTGCAATCAGATACCTAAGAAAATCACATGTATTGGTGTGGGGGGTATTCCTTGTAATTTTCTAGGTGAAAAACTTACATGAGGGGAAAAAAAACCCTTTTTCTTTCTTTTTTTTTAATTAAGATATAAGTTCCTAATTTATATTCCAGTAGAGGATTTGCTTATGAACACAAACTTATTAATTTGCATTATTGCTTGCTCTAGTGAAATTAGACTGTTTCAGTTATGTGTGTTATTTATAGTTATTATGTCAGATAGTGACCTTGTTTCTGACCTTTACGTTGTTAATTGAAGCTAGATTTTAAAGGTGAACCTTCTTTGGTTTTTGGCCAGCTTGCAAAGCTGTAACAAACAAAAAATCTTGAAAAAGTTAAATGAAATCCTCCCAAAATAAAATAAAGCATTTATGGCAATGATAGCAATAAACCAGGGTGCTTGGAAAACTGGAAATGAAGCAGAGCCACATTTATAGGCAGATACTGCAGAAATAGGAATATTCTAGCAAAGTACCTTTAAGAATTGGTCACATGTGCTACATTTTTCTTTAACATTTTTCTGTTAGAGCCTCTATTTGGAAATAAGTGGTAAATTCTTGTATTAAGATTTCTTGGGATTATCAATCAATTTTTAAAAAGCAACTACTTCCTTTAGCTGTCAATTTTGTCCAAGAAGTGATGAATATAGAAACAGAAAAAAATTATCACTGACTTTATCATATAGACATGGTATCATACATACATGAATGTATATGTAGTATAAATACATACGTTACATATATGTATTTGTAAACAAATTATAGTTTCCACTGATATCAACTAATTATTTACTTGAGATATTTTCATTTCAATGATCTACTTTTCATATTACATACAATTCTTAGTCGATAAAAAAAACTGTTAAAATCATATTTTCAAATAGGCAATACTAAATTTAGTTAATGGAGAATTTTCAAATATTATGGAATAATATTATTATGAAAAAATGACATAAAAATGAAATTAACTTTCAAAAACCCTTTATAAATTTAAAACAAATTAATGGAAGTAACTTATCCTGGCTAAAATATTTTATTAAGTAATTCAAAGCTAAAATAATTAATCACATGAAGCTTGCATCTCAGAATATATTTCTCTGGAAGGATGAAATAAAGAATCAAGGTTGATTAACATTATGGATATATACCTCCCAACTGATATCAGCTAAATTAGAAATAATTTAGCTTATGGGAATTAAAATAGGGGCATAGAGTATGTGGAACGTTTAGACATTTTCCAACAGATTTAATAGAAAAAGAGGACCTCAGTCCTTAATGTCAACTGGTAACCTAATTCTTATTAGTGGGAACTGGTGTACCAGGCAAATTCTTAAAGTAGTCACAAGTATCATTACCTGCCAAACAGTGACGGATTATTATTTTTTAATGTAAAGTATTTTCATCTGACATTACACTAAGGACCTCAAACTTGCTTTCCTTAGAACTTCTTATTAAAATAAAACAAGAAAATTCATGTGATACCAGAGACTGAACCCCAATAATTTATCTACTTATGACCTAAGTATTCTCATGAATTTTGTTATTGGGAGAGGAAAGGGAAAATTTTTTTTGAATTTATTTTTGAATAATAATGATAGCTATTTAATAATAATTATTATTATTACTGTAGAAGACATAATTACCCAGCATTAACTGTAAACTTCAGCTATACTTTTGTTCTTAGGGAATAATATAATTTAAGATAGGAGCAGGAAGTAGAGAAAAGTAAAGACATGTAATTTTGCTTTCTTGGGTCATTTCTAATTATAAACATCTCTTGAATGAAGTTTTTCATCAGAGGGGGGAAAAAAGGTCTTTCTGAAATTTGTAAGTGTCTCACTGGAACCCAACCATCAGCTTCCCCTCACTGACAGTCACCTGTGCTTTGGACAAAGTAACCGAGGGTGTGTGTTTTCATCAGTGATTCACATTTGAAATACAACAGATTAGATGTTTGTTGGAAGCAATACTTCCTACAACTGAGCAACCTATTTATACCAAATCTCCACAAACAGGACCCACATTATTTAAACCCCAAGACCTCTCAAGACCTGGCGTTACCTGCCTGCAGACCCTATTTTTGTGGCCAGCCAATTGATAGGCAAAGTGAAAGAAACATGGGAACTGGATAAAACAACCGTGTGTCCCCACTGGAAGCCCCATTACTGGAATCACTTAAACCTTGCTGGACAAAGCACCACGAGAATTTGCTGTCGGAAACAAACCTACACGAATGGGGCAGGGAAGAAATGACCTAATAGTTGGTCTCCCTTCTGCTCCAATCTCTACCCGTCTGTGTTAGCAAAAGCTGCCACACTGTTGTAAAAGCTTATGCCCCAACAAGAGGGCATTTCTTATTTATTTATTTATTTTTTAAAGTTCAGAATTTAACATTTAAGTTGCCATCATCAAAAGGCAGGAACACCCTGAGACGATTTTTCCCTGGGAACAACACTTTTAAGATACAATGGAAAAGTGCTGTGTTTTTCTTCATCCAAGAACTTAGATGCCGGTAAAAGAGTGCGCTTCTAGTCGGAATGTTGTTTGCTGGCTACCTGAAATTTAGGGGCACTTCTCCTAAGCCCGAGCTGCTTACAATGCCAAGTGGCATCCTTTGATGTTATCCAACATGAAACCAGACTGGAACTCTGCCTGGTCTGCTGTTTTGGGGACCCCCATCCTGCCTCAGTTGATTATTTCAGTTGGAAGTATTCCTCACACGCCTGTCCCCTGCTGCCACAAGGTGCACACAGGTGTAGGACAGTAAGGGAGTGTGTGGGCAGGCAAGCATGGGGAAGAGGAGAGTGGACGGCGTTATTTGCATGTATGAATGAAAAAGTACATGGCTCTTCTCTCTGGATAAATATATATGTTTCAGGATATTGGTTTTCGGGTCAAGGTAGAGAAGTGAACATAAAACACAATGTCAAGAATATTTTTCTATGAATGGCAATGTTCTTCCAATGGTCATTACTGATTTGAAATGAGAGGATGGATGCTATTTATCCTGAAAGTGGTCTATGTCTAAATGGGATAGTACCGTTATCACAGATCCTGTCTTTTGATTTTAAGTGCAAACTTGTACAAAGATGATCTTGTGGGTGTGTGAGGGTGAGCATGCGTGCCTGGTTGGAAGTGAAGGCAGGTGTCCATAGTGAGAGGGAGGGAGGGAGGCAGTGACCCACTTAATATTATTCCTTACTTTCCCAAGTCCTGGGATTTTCAGGTGTTTTCATTGCCAGCGGAAAGTGCAAGTGACACTTATACTGATGTCACCAGTTAGTTTTTGTTTGTTTGTTTGTTTGTTTGTAACAGGGACTATTTAACCTTTAGAACCTTAATAATGGTTCTAAGTACTTTTGCCTTGGGGGTATCAAACCCTCACTCTTTATGTAAGTAACAAGGGCGCATTTACATATTACCTCTAGGACAGTTTTGTAAATACAACCTTCCCCCCGCGGCCCCCCCCCCCCCCCCTTAAGGGGAGGCACTCGGTATTATTGCAAATAACCTTTAAGATAATTAACTGACAATGCTGCAACTAGCATAAAACCTTCCTTCAGGCGACACCTAATTTAAGTGTTACTGGCACAAAGTGGAGACAGATTGCGCATCACCACTGCAATATTTACATAGCAGAAACCCACAGCGCAGGAAACGCGAGGCTCAATGATGCACTAAATTAGGAACAACCGTGCTCCAGTGTTAATTTGCTTTTCATTCTATCCAAATCTCAGGTCCAGGAATTGGTACAAGTACATGGACAGCCTCCCACTCTTCTATGACTAAACCGGAGGAGATTTTTGTACTTTTCCGCCCCGATGTTAAAGTAACTTGAAATTTATTTCTCTCCACGAGAACCATTTGATCAAACTGTGCTTATTTCATTATAACTTGCTCTCACTTTGATCTAAAACTATTTTCATATGACAGCTGCATCAGAGTCTATAGAGAAAAACTAAACAGACTTCCTCTCTTTTCTCAAAGGCTGCCAGCATAGCTTATGAAAAGAAAAGAAAAAAAAAAAAAAAAAAAAAGAGAGAGAGATGTGAGAGCCAGTTGGTGAAATATTTAGAGACATGGCAGGGCAAATTTACCTTAGGCGAATTTCTCACTGATGAGTATTGTCCCCCCAGTTCAAACCCTCTCCACCAAAATCATCCAAACGACGATTTTCCCCCTCCTCCCCACAGTACTGTAAACACCGGTTTCATCCAAGTCATTAATAAAGCATTTACCTTTCCTAATTGCTGATGCTCTTGAAAGGCGGCGATCAGTTCTTCAGCCCACTTAATTTTTTCAGGGGAAGGAGAAAACTGCTCCTGGACGGCTGCAATTTGGTTAGGGTGTATCACCTGCTTACCTACAAAAGGATTAGCAGTTACACAGGGAACACAAAACAACAAGTAGATGTCTTAACCAGGAGAGGCTCCTGAATGCCTCACCGACTGTATGTAAAATAACTCATTATTTTAGCACATTTAAAAAGAAAACAACAGTAATTGGGCAGGCTTCTCCAGAACACCACATCAGAACAAACACAACAATGGGAGTAATTGTGTTTCCGATCCTATAGAAATGCCACCTTGGTGCAGATAATCTCTCAGTTTTAGCTACAGGTGGACTGACTGAGCAGCTCGTTGAATAACTGCTTTGGCTGGGACTTTAAAGGATAATGTCTGCAAATTAGAGTGATTATTTTGAAGTAAAGAAGAAAAATGTTATGTTAATTCTTTCTAATTTTATAAGTTGTCTTTGGCTTATTTGGCACCATTACCCTGCTTTCCACGATTTCTTTTAGGAGTAGTCTGTTGGTTTTCATAAAGCTTCAGAAGCAGGTGTTACAACTATATTAATATCAAATAGTGTCTTACAACAATAATTTATTTTTTTCCTCTTTAGGTATGATATGTCATTTCTAACCACTAGTAGAAATTTAGATTTCACTGAGAAAACTTTATTCAGTACAGTAAAGTAGAAGACAGATTTAAACAGTGTGGTCCCTAAATTACTCCATTTAAAAATGTTTAAATAAAAATAACAGAAAGTTTCTTGACCTAAAAACATAACCAGATTTTCCCTTTTTTCTTATAGAATGAAGATTTTGATTCCCTTTTATATATATACTTAGACACCCAGATGAAATCTTATCTTTGTAGTAATATCTTTTTTTTGAAGTTTAAGTATCTTTAATAAAAACATGATATAAAGATAAGAGTCACAGGATTCTAGGAAATCACGCAGTTATTAAAATGAAACAGTTTAGCAATCAGGGAAGAATGGAATCTAATCAGGTCATTAATAAAATGAAACATAATTTAATGTTATAATAATGTTGAGGTTATATTTTATTACATAATAAAATTATGGACATATTTGATTCTTTTAAAATGAATGTACACTTAGTGATAACTTACTTTGCTAAGTATATTTGTTGGTGTATCAATTTGCTTTGCTTTTGAAATAGTGTTTAACACTTAATCATTAGAAATTACAGTATATTATTGATGTTTTAAAAAAGGTGAATTCCTGTTACTGCCATTATTCTATCGAACAGAAAAAAGAAATGTTTGTAAAAATTTCTTTTTGTATTTGTGAGTCTCCGTGAATAAATACAGTAATATCTTTTCTTACAATGGCATAATTAAAACATACTCACATTGCTATTTCATTTTTAGTCTGTCAGCATATTAATAAAACATTAAAACACTATATAACTAAAGCTGCTTTAAATTATTTGAGGAATAATTTCTGGGAACAAATAACATCAATGATGACAAATGAGAGCTTTTTTCAATAGTAGGTACTGAAATTATATTTAAATAATCTAATAGTTGTTACAATATTATTAATAAAGGATGTCAGTTCTGGTACTCATTTTGTACTAATTGTTGGTCCTGAATTTTATAATTTATGTACATAATTTACACTGATGTGTAAAAAGCCAAATTTCATGGGAACTTCATAGTACAGACATGATAATGTGAGGAGCAAGACACAAACTATTTAAAATACAGTAAAACTACTGATGGCTTGCAAATACCCATATGCCGGTAATGAGGCTAATTTTAAGATATGCGTTAGGTTTTAGAAATTTATGAACATTCATTTGTGAAGTTATCTTTTGTTGAATCTTGAATACCCCAACAACTGAATATCGGACTTTAATGCCATGTGGGAGCAAAGCAAATATTTTATACAGAAGAGTTGTTATTGACAAGTTACTGAGAGGGTGCGAAACTAGAAGACATTAAAATTTATGACCATGAAATCCTTTTTACAGTACCACTTGATATATCATGCTTTAAATCAATACCTGTCAAGTCTTTTAGGTAACTGTATGATGCTGTCATTTTTGTCTTCTATAAAAGACTGCAAAAAAGAGAAAAATCTCTAGAGTTTCATATTTATAATCTTTCTTCTCAGCATGTAGTACTGGAGTCAGCTCTTAGAGCTTTATTCTAAGGTTTATTTTTATAAAAATAATACCTAAAGTTAACAGCTATTTTATACATCCAATGCATTGATTTAAAATCTGTGTCTCTGTGAAACAGACTACAGAAAAGAAACTACAACCCACTGTTTCATGCGTGGTTAACTTTAAAAAACCACAACTCATTAAAAATATATGTACTTTTTTAAAGTACAGAAAATCCCAATTACATAGACGGGGTGTTTCTTATCAGTGTTATGGATAACACAATACTTTCATTGAATTTTAAACTTTCAACCACCTGCTTCAGACAGGACGTGTGTCTTCTTCCTTCCTTCCTTCCTTCCTTCCTTCCTTCCTTCCTTCCTTCCTTCCTTCCTTCCTTCCTTCCTTCCTTCCTTCCTTTTTTTCATTACTCTCCTCCCTTCTTGTGCAAAGCGCAAGGTATGGAATTAAATGATAAGTAATTAGGACAAACAGATTACAAGTGGCCTAAAATACTTATTAAATCATTTATTGTTTTAAAATACTACAAATAACCTCATATCTTATCAGACTAATTACCTCTTATTGGCATGTAGAGATATAGTTGGGACAACAAAGACCTTCTTTCTGAAAATTGCAAAATGGCCATAAAGTGTAGCTCCCTACTTTACTGACTTGTTTGCTTGAATCTATAGTGGGCACTGTACCCTCTGTGCCTCCCCGTCCCCCCATTCCATTTTTTTGTGTGATTTAATACTCCCTGTTGTTGAGAAACAATAGTGCCAAGCCCATAAGCTCCTCATGCTGAGTTGGGCACAGTCTAGAAATTTAAATCTGATTTGAAATAACTTGTCTTCTGCGATCGAATTAGGGGCCAATTTAATGCAGTCCTGTATCTTGGAGAAACCCTCAAACTCCTTTGTAAGTTCCGGAGCAAACATTTACCCCAGAGGAGACGGAGGACACCTCGGTTATACTGAGTGAGGGTGACAGAGGCCCGCATCAGATCCAGCGTTTTCTGTTTCTGATTGCATTAGTGCTCATTTCAGAGCAACATCTGGCTGCTTGGCAGCCAAGGCCGGGCATTTTAGACCAACAACATTGGGGTCTATTAGATAGATTTCATGGAGTTTTTCTCCAGCTTCTCCATTTGGGCCACGTCCTAACCAGTCGTCAGGAAGAGACGGGTGTGCAGGCTAGCGGGAAAAGGACAGCCCTGGACCAGGGCAGAGGCACTCTTTCTTTCTTCCTTCCTTCCTTCCTTCCTTCCTTCCTTCCTTCCTTCCTTCCTTCCTTCCTTCCTTCCTTCCTCCCTCAGTCACTATTAAATGTAAGGAGGATTTGTTAATAGCTCAGATGATTGAAGAATATTTCCCTGTAAGAGATTGCAGGTATTTACTTATTTATTTACAAATTTGTGGGGGTCCCATTTGAACTCTCTCTGTTAAAAACACAAAAATCAAATGCCAAAGCTTTATTTAATTCTAATAAACCCCTTAAGATGGCTTCTTAAGCCTTGAATTTTACTTTGGGCTAAATCATCATCCATTCAGATATCTTGTGCATTTAAAGTGCATTTAAACCTTAAGACATGTTTCGTTAGTAACCCCTAACTGGACACATTTCAAAAACATTTTCCAAAGGGATAGCATGGGTGCTTGTCTTTTGTCCTTATTATTTGGATTCAATTCTGAGCATGATGTTTCTAGAAAGTGCAGCAGAAGGACAGATAAGAATAAAAGATTTTAGAGTGTTTTTTTTTTTTTTTAATCCATGGTTGCACATGCGTGTGTATGCAATTGCAGAATGTGTTTGGGTGTAGAATTCTATTGTGGTCTCTAAAAAAATAAATAAATAAATAAAAGAGATTTCTGTTGCAAAAACACAATTTTCGGTTGCTCCCTGGGTTCCTGGGGCCTGAGTGACTAGGCACACCAATCAACAGATATCCGCCTGCGCTCCAGGACCGGATTGTGAGGGACCTGCTGAGCGCAGTGCCAGCCAATGCCCGTAGGTGTTGCCAGGTGCACAGACACATATCGGGAGGTGGGAGAGAAAGAAGGGGCTTGGAGTGGCAGATGAATAAAAACCTAGTTTTGAGTGGGAAAAAAAATAAAAAAGATATCAACAATCTTTTTTTATGAAATTTATTAATATTTGGACTGCTGAAGAAAAATTTTCTTCAACCCATCAACACAAACTCTTAACCTGCTAACCGAGCGGGACCTATAAATACGTCAAATGCAAACAATATCGGGACTGGGTAGGACGTATGGATACGTCCTTGAAATATATGTTGTGCCCCGAGAGGGACGGTATATATTTTTTGTAATCTTTTTTTTTTTTTTAATATTTTATTGATTTTTTACAGAGAGCAAGGAAAGGGGAGGGATAGAGAGTTAGAAATATCGATGAGATGAGAGAGAAACATCGATCAGCTGCCTCTTGCATACCCCCCACTGGGGATGTGCCGGCAACCAAGGTACATGCCCTTGACCGGAATCAAACCCGGGATCTTTAGGTCGAAGGCTGATGCTCTATCCACTGAGCCAAATCGGTTTCAGCTATTTTTTGTCATCTCTATCATTGTTTGTAAAATTTATAATTTTTTAATTCGACGTGTCCATTTTTTTTTTTGTCGGTATTCTTTTCTATTTTTTTTGTAATTTTGTATTTTCCTTTGTGCTTTATATATATATATATATATATATATATATATATATATATACAAATATATATATATATATATATATATATATATATATATTTCATTTATTTTCATTAAGTATAAATAAAAAAAAATAATATGAAATTACGTCCTCCGGGCGTGACGTACTGACACGTCCTAGTGAAAGAGTACGCACCCGTTACAGGTTGCATCATTAAAAAGGGAACTCCCCGGTTAACAGGTTTAAGGCAGTTCACCCAAAAATACTTTTACGACAGCCTCATCCCTCCCCTCGTGTCAGCAAAAACTGCAACAAAATACTTAACAGAAAAAAAAAAAGGTCACTATTCTAACGAGAAAATAAAATAAGTGATTTGCTTGTTGACTGGCAGAGCCAAAGTAAAGCCTGACCATTTGTTGGGTGGGTTCTTGCCCTGGATGGCTTCTTTTCATGTTTCAGATGGTAGAATAGGTATGTGAACTACCTGGCCACCTTAAGGAACACTGATTTCTGGAATGTTCGAAAATCTAGACAATGCTGTTCAGGATACCACCGAGGACCATACCCGTAAATCCCATCGCCGCTCCTTCTCTCGCCTGCCTCAGGAGCCCCTCTTCGTCTCGGAAGTCGATGTACACCAGGTCTACGGCCTGCAGACCAAAGGCCTTCGCCACGACAACGATCTTTTGCCGGGCGTAGAGAATGTCGTGGGCTTCTTTACTACTTGTTGCACCTGGAAATGGGAGGTTGGCAGAAAAAAGGAGAGAGGTTAACTTTGGAAACCCAACCCATACATCTCTTGTAAAAACTCAGGACGTAAGGGTGTCTGGGTCCTCCATGGCCTTGCGGCCCAGGGAGGTGATGATTCAATATAAACGAAGAGGGATGTGTGGAGGCAGAGTTCAACCTCATGGGACCTTCTTGCAAGGTATCTTTCAGGGGAATGGCTGTGTGCATGAAGAAGAGGACCCCCCCCCCCCCCCCCCCCAGGAGCCAGAATCATGAATGACTTGGTAGGTCGGTCACAAATGACTTCTGACATGTATGTTTCCCTTTTGCCATCCCTTGGAAATTGTCGGTCCAAAGGTAGCACTGCAAGAGGTGGCCAGAGGGCTGTGTGAGGAAATGGCTCAGTTCTCCCGCTGAGCCCAGAGTTCCACAGGCTGTGGTGGCCATGCCCTGTTATCACTGAGGTTCTGAGCCAGGTACTTCCGGGGTTTGGATGGAGAACTTAAGAGAAATGGAAGGGCACTCGCTTTGAGAGAGGCAGAAAGTTTCCACTAAGCTACTGGTGATACTGAGTCCCCCGGGAAGACCGGTATTAAAATAAGTTCCTGGTGTTTCCACCCTGGGGGTGGGAGGGCGTGTGTTTACGTTTGCTCAGGGGGAAGCTCCTGTCTCGGGTCACTTGGGACCGTGGCTCTGAAAAGCCAGTGACCTGGGCTCCTTTTCCAGAGGCACCGTCTCTGGTTGCACATGCATCGTGCCCAAGGGATGGGGAGGACCAGTGAGAACAGGCACGCACACTATCTCAATGAGTAATTAATAATAAGAGTTCTGAAACAGACTTGAGGAGGTATTTAAAATCTATTTTAAATAATATTTACATACTACAGTTAATAAAGAAAATTACTCGGTAGAGCATATGTGGAATTGCCTTAAATTTGTGGTAGGGGCCTCAATCCCCTTTACACTGAGGTGAAAACAAAAATATTTAAGCAACAGAGAGGATGTTCGCATAACAACTATTATGAACAGAGTAGATGCTGTCTCTTCCCGAACACGTGTGAGGCTGCAACAGCCTTTTTACGAGTTACTTTATAAGTGAATAGACATAACGGTGCTGTGTTCTGAAAGCAGGACAATGGTGAGGTGTCCTAAATTATCGGGAAGTGCTGTCCATTCAGCTGAAAACCATTGTCACGGTTGGCAAATATATTGTCATGTAAATGTCCGTTTGTGAAGGGGCCCAAGGGGGGAAAAAAAAGTATACATGTGTACACAGAAAGAATGAGAGAGAAATGAGTCTTTGACACCTATGCTGGCTCGAAAGTCTTCTCCTCCGAAAACGACAGCATCTAGGCAAAGGCCCACCGGAGGCCCGGCCTTCACGGCTTCTTTGCACACGGCCTGTAAAAGAGCAGAGAGAGCGTCTCACAGACACACACGGTGGGGAGAAGCAGCCTGCTGTAGATTCAGCACCAGAAAGATCCAGTTCTGAATACAAGACAGTTTGTCTGAGAGCAGTCCTAAAAATGCAGCCCCAAGTCACCCCTTTCGAAAGGCATTTCACATTGTTCAAGATAAATAATGCTGTATACCTTGGCTTTGCTTTAATGGAGTATGTTAATATAGCCATTAACGTACGTTCATATAGTTACAATGTTTGACTTGTAGTTCATCCAATTTCTAGAAAAACTTGGGAGTTAACTCAGTTCGGTTGTACTATAAGTAATTTATGTTTTTCCAAAATTTGTTTTTGCTTTAAGAGACTCACACCATACACAGAAAGCCACAGGAAAGAAGGCAAGAATTTTTAAAATCAAACTAATTGGATTATTTGCATCGGGATCAAGATTTCTTAGTAAGTGGTTTTAGGATTAAAGACACACAATACAAAAACCTACAATGCCAGAGGGGAAAACAAAAATGCAACAAGTCACCCAAGACGTATTAATAAGCAACTTCGATATTTCCATGTGAAATAAAGATAAATGACATTCGTTGCAGACAGCACTGTGAAGCGACAAAGGTTCATGCTAATATACGTGGGTGGGGATGACATGAGAAACTCGTGAGGACTCTGCTGATTAATTTCAGGGGTTGTAAGTGCTTCTCGGTACGTTATGGAATAAAATGGCAAAACAGTGCTGAAAATCAAATCGTTATAGGAATCTAGCTGCATCTAAAAGATATGCTTTGATTATATTCCCAGAAATCTAGGGCAGGCTCGGAGAAATGTGTGGTTAGTGGTGTAAACACACGTGAAGTAGCTCGCAAACATTTGCACTCTGCCCCTCCTGCATGGTCCAGTAGGTCTCAGAGTTTCCTCTCAGAGCGTTTGCTCACATATTACCTCTCCAGTTACAGCTCAACTATCTTTTTATTGTGTTTTGTTTTGAGGAATTTCTTCTCTCGTGCCCTCTGGGATAGAATGCTACATTGATGTTCACAGGTCAGGTGTAATGTGAGGTATATTTTGGAAAACAATTTAAATGACAACCAATAAAGGGATTTTTTTTTTTTTTTTACAAGCTAGCTATTAATTTGTTAAGGCAAACAGCTTGATGCAACCAAGAAATGTTGGGAAGCACGTGGGTAAGATAATCTTCCTGGTATATATTAGGAAAGAGTTTCTGTTCTAATGTGGTAAACTGAAATATTATACCACAAATTATTGGCATATACTAACTAGGAAATAGTAATTGTTATCAACTGGACTTTATGGATGATGTTGCTACAGAGACCAGAAAGTTTCCCAATGAAAGACGGTTGCTACAAGAGAATAATCGAAAGTTAATTCATAAGGGTGACAAAATAAATTTTCATGCACATTTTATCTATAAACATAATAATTCAAAGCACATATTTTACATAGTGATGATTAAATTAAAATTATTGCTAGGAATCTACAGTTTAAATATTTAGGACTGGGAATTCTTCCTTGCTACTTAGTCCATTTCTTTCTTTTCTAAGATGCTCACAACCTGGTTTTGTATAATTACAAATAATAAATTGTGCTCAAGATTTACTTTGCTTATAAATTTTTTCAGAAAAATATTTTAAATTAATATTGAAAAGAAGAGTTCTCTTTAGGTAATAAAATATTAACTTCTAAGCCACGTTAGGGTTTTCTTACCTTAAAATTGAGCAAACCCATTGCAGTTTCCACAAAAGGGATTAAATTCATAGGTTGTTCAAGTTTTCGGCCTTTTAAGTAGAATGAAAATTTGTCTGAAAACTAAAATCAAAATTGTCATAGGTAATTAGTGAGAGGAAAATGTATAACCACTGAAGTGTAGACACAGAAGTAGTATTTAAGTCTTTGACCAGAGGAAGTAATATCCCAGCCTCTTTCGTCCACACAAAAGAATTTAAAAAAAAGAAAAGAGAAAAGAGGAAAGACCAAAGGAAAAAAGGTAACAAAGTTCCCACCAAACTAAATAGTAAAACCCCAAGCATTATACTTTTCTCTCTCTCTCTCTCTCTCTCTCTCTCTCTCTCTCTCTCTCTCTCTCTCTCTCGGAGCAATTTGAGGCCTACGACATAGAACTAGAAGGAGAGAATCTTGAGTTTAAATGCTTCCCTTAAAAACATACTTAGTTAAGACCTCTCACCCTCACTTCTTAAATGCAAGTGGTGGGCCCCTAAAACAATGCGCCTTGCCCTACCTGCCATTCTGTTTTTGTTTCACACCCAGCACTGACATCAGTGCGACTGCTCGGCCTTCTACGTGGAATCTGTATTATTCATTATCATACCATTACCCTTTGTGCAAGAGGGTTTTCTTCATAATTTTTTAGCTTACCTAGGAAGACCTTAAAAAGGAAGTTTAATTCTTTGAAGACCAAAGCTCGCCAATTTTTTCCATGAGACCAGTTCACAGCTAGCTCTGTGCTGCCAGTGGGGTAGCCCAAATTCCAAAATCTATCATCTGGAAACATACAAAAGCTCTTGCACAGACACCCCCCACCCCCCCTTTCAAAAGGAAAAAAAGAAAAAAACCAACCCAAAACCTCACCACACTCTAAATTGTAAATCTATTATGTCTATCTAGATCTAATAAGATGTGGGAAGATTAAAAACACACACACACACAAAAAAAACACACAGGTATGACAGATATTTTTGTAAATAAAGATGAAAACATTATCCATTTTAAATTTAAGGAATATTCATCCATTAATGGATATCAAAGGAAAAGGGAATTTTAATCATCCCTCCATTCAGTCTCAGTTGGGTAAATCATATCTAAGAGATTTGCATAAATATAAACCATCAAAGACTTTTCATCTTCAAAGGGGGTTTCAAGACCCTATAAGCTTTGTACTGTAATCATCGCAGGTCACCACCCTGCAGGAATAGGGCTGCTATGGCAACATAAAAAAACTAATGCTTAAGGCTTAGCATAATATTCTGACTAATAGAAAGGAAACTCATTTTAAAAGCTGGCAGCCTATTTACCCGAAGCAGGATTAGAGGTGTTATTTCCCCTTTTAGCTGCCCCCTCCTTGCCTGTGCGGCACCCTCCTCCCCCTAAAAAATCTAATCACTGGGATCTTTAAAAAGCTTTTGAGCAATTTGCAGTAACTTTACAATTAGGCTAAAATAAATCACAGCTTTCAGTAATGAAGAATTATTCCCAGTTGCTCCCACTGCCCCCTCCCTTCCTCTGTCACCATCATCATCACCTCCTTAGTAACTTTGCAAGGGAAGGAATAACTCAGCCGAAATAGCAAGAAAGAAGAGAGGGCTACCATTTAAGGGAACAAAACGTATAGTATTTCATGTAAATGAAAATAAAACATAATTTATGTCACAGTTAAGCTAGAAAGTAGGGAGTGACATATTGGTGGTTTTGGTGTTACAGATCCAGTGTGTGTGTGTGTGTGTGTGTGTGTGTGTGTGTGTGTGGTGTTCTTTTTTTTCTCATTAAAAAAAAAAAAAAATCTTGCCAGGTTTCTTGCCCCATGGTTTGTGATAATAGTTATAATTATAAACACCATCAAGTTTAAAACTAGGTAAACACTCTACAATATATTCCCGGTTCTCAGTGAGAAAAAAAATCTCTTGTTTTTAAAGCCAATAGGGGCATTTAAAAATTAAATATTCCAGCCCATCCTTCTTCCCCTCCTCCCCTTCTTTCTTAAAAAATTGCATTAAGTACGCACACAAAAGGTAACTAGTGGAGAAGTTTCAATTAATTTTTTTTTCAAAAGGAGACAATTAAATGTTTCCGGCCTGGTAAAGTGTTCATTTCAGCGAGGTGGAGGGACTAGGGGGGCAGGGGCGGGGGGCGGAGGGCGGAAAAGAAGGGGGAGAATCACAAAGAGATTGGGGAGGAGATGAAGTACAAGGCTCAGCAATTCTTTCAATTCCAGTGCACACCCAATAGTGTGTTGGAAGAATGCGCACTGTTCGGGATTTGTGGGAGAATTGTCCCGTCACAAAGGAGGCAGAGTCACGCTTGTTATAGTCCAATAAGCCGTGCCAGTCAAACAAGAACCCACACTAGCGACAAAAGGCCAGCAAGAGATTCTCACACAAAAGAAAACAAGGAAGCCCATCTTTCAGTTGTGCATCAGGCCCTGGATTTTATGCTTCACATAAATACAAACGGAGAGGAAAAAATAAACAGCCCAAACAGACTTCTGTTAACTAGAAATCCTATTTAGATTTCGGTACGTTCCTCACATCCAGGGATTTAAAACAGGGAACAGAAGCTGGGCCTGAAGGCTGGGGTGGGTCCTCTCCCCTCAAACGAGGGTAGTAACTGTGATAAATAGACATGAACTATGAAACCGAAAGGGAACAGTGACTTTGGATTCCATTTCAATCAATGGAAGACACCTTCAAGGGTAGAAGCCCTTGACGATATTAACCTAGTGTAACCAGCATCTCCCAGCCTCAGAGTTGACCTTGGAGCAGAGAGAGTAAAGAGGAGGGAGTCCTTGAACACCTGGCTCAGAAGCACCAACATGGAGCTGTCCAGCTGAAGAGTAATGGCAGCTGCCTATGCAATTCTGAATTCTACAGAAGCTGCATTAAATGAGTAAAATGAAGCAATCAACATCATGAAAAGCCAATGCGGCCTAAATATTATCATTTCAACATGTAAGAGGTCCGGGGACCACAAAAATCTTCAAAATCCCATGTGTACTTTACACTTCCAGGACATCTCAATTTGGGCTTGCCACATTTCAAGTTCTGGGTACCACACGTGGCAGGCAGCCACGGCTTTGGAAAGCACAGGCCCAACACATCGATGTGCATTTAAAGGGGACGGGTTTCCCCGGGTGTTACAACCTCGCAGTGTATTTGCTACCGTTGCCACTGCAGCCTTAGAGTAATCCAGATGTGGCATCAGAATCACCACTGTCCACATGCCCTCACCACACGTTCAGCATTTACGTGTCACAGGCCCTCTGCCCTGGAGTGACACAATGGAATGTTATTTTATTCAGCAGAGATCAGCAGAATCATAGCACCCCTTAAGTAAAATATCCCCCCATCCCCCGCCCCATTTTAACAATGAAAACAATCATAGTATAATTAGGCCCATTTCAAAGTTTTCTTAAGTAATTTGACATGCCAGGTTTTTATTGGCCGAAAAGTCTGTCATGAAACACAAACACACCTGTCAGCAATTTAAAAAGGAGGAACTAGAGAACTGTTCAGGAAATAATATCTGTGCTAATTAAAACCACTGGTTAAAAGCTTCCTGTTTACTCCTCCGCTTGCCCTATGGAGTGACCCTTACCTCTCCTCCTCCAGGTTCATTTTTTCATTTGTGGCTCATGTGCTGTCTCTGTCTATGCTGTCTTCCAACGAGTCTGGCCGGGGAAGGCCCTCTTACGGCCCTGTTCTCCCAGGTGGAGGGTTGGGGCCTGGCAGGGTGCAAGAAGCTATCCAATTCTCAGGCAAGCTACCCTGTTTCCCCGAAAATAAGACAGTGTCTTATATTAATTTTTGCTCCCAAAGATGCGCTAGGTCTTATTTTCAGGGGATGTCTTATTTTTCCATGCGCTACATCTTATTTTTGGAGGATGTCTTATTTTAGGGGACACACGGTAGTTTCCAAGGACTGCTCTGTAAGGGCTACTGAGGACCCTGTGCTGTCCAGTCCACAAATCCGGTGAGGGAGCAGAGGCATCATTTCAGGAGTAGAGTTATCCCGTTAGGACACTTGGGGCAAAGCCAGGACGTTCTCTGTGGGTGAAGAATATGGACTCTTGGGCTCACTCCTTTTTCTGAATTCCCTTTCTGCTCTGTGCATGTATTTTCCAAACTGGCAGCACCCAAATGCTTCCTTTCTGCTACTCCTTCTTAGCCAGTCTTGAATCTTTGATTAAAGAAAGCATTAGCTACTCACCCACTGGATTTCCTCGGGACCTTCCACCTTGGGTAGCATTATGCTGGAAGGAAGGACCCGGGACTGCAGGACGGCCTCCAGGTCTTCTTCAGCCAGGCCACTGGACACCGCGTTGATTCTCACACACTTTTCGGTTGGGCCCAGATCAAAGTCTTCAAGAGTTTTTACTATTCTTAATCGAGCTTCATTCTGTAAGTGTTGAGAAAATGAATCTCCTGAGTATATTGATCGAGAAGAAACAATCCAGCTGTCTGGGAAACTTATGTAGATTCAGGCCTGAGCACCATTACTATATCTACAACTACTAGCATACTTCTAAATAGTAGTATCGTTTTGCTCATTAACATTACTTCTCAATTGCAAAAGTAAATTAATTAATAGGTAGCATTTCTTGAGTATTTACTTGGTACAAGGCATAGTTCTACTATGTGCTATTTGGTCTTCTATCTGCTATTTCTCATTTAATAAATATAAGAAGCTATGCCGAAACCATTTTGGCTCAGTGGAGAGAGCATCTGCCTGCGGTCTGAAAGGTCCCAGGTTCGATTCTGGTCAAGGGCATGTACCTTGGTTGCAGGCACATCCCCAGTAGGGGGTGTGCAAGAGGCAGCTGGTCAATGTTTCTCTCTCATCGATGTTTCTGACTCTCTTCCTCTCTGTAAAAAATCAATAAAATATATATTAAAAATTTTTAAAAATAAATAATTAATAAATATGAGAAGCTAGATACTATGGATAATGGCAATCTCATCTGTCAGTGTAGTCAGTTTAGGGGCAAAAAATTGTTTTTCTTTTTCCATATGCTTCATGCTTTTTTACTCACTTTTTAAAAAATATTTTTTTTTTGCAATGGAGTTGAATCTTGACACTTAATTAGGAAGGCACTCAGAGGAAACTGACATTCCACACTACAAAAAAGCTCCAACTTATTCAAAAGGAAGACTGTAATATCACTGAGAAACCCCTTCATGGAGTGGAGGGAAATATACATGTTTTTCCTTTGATTTGACAGTCTTTGCTCCAGTTAAGGAAAACTGAAAGGTTGAAAGCCTGCCTCCGTGTCTGAATTGTCCTCGGCAAAACTATATGAAACCAAACATATTATTGATTGTCTTTGAGTTGGGGGTGATGAAGGTGAGGGGAGCCGGGAAAGGAGTGATTGAGGGGGTGGGGGTTGGGGTTGAAAGAATAGTACTTTGAGGTCATTACTTCCTGCCTATTTCAGTTTCAAAAACAAATTCCTCCACCTTGCCAACAGCCCTCAACTAATTCTCATTGTCAGAATGAACACGTATCAAAAGTAGTTTCATTTGGGAAGAGATTTTATGATACTAATAAAACTTGAAAGCTTCTCACTGCTGATGAATGTGGTTTAAAAAGAAAAGTTTTAACAATATGCAGCCATGTGCACAGCAATCCTTATCTAGGAAAGTAGCAAAACCGAAATGGTGACAAAAAAAAAAAAAAGAATGGTTTGAGCTGATATTGAATCTAAGTCTAATCAACAAGACAAGCCAGGACAGTAGATTTAAACCAGACGGAAGTGGGCCTACGACCCTGTGGAAGCAGGGAAGTCTTCGAAATGTGGTCCGAGTTAAACAGTGTGAGGAAACGGTAGCTTAGAGTTGTCAGGTCAGATGGAAACAGAGCATGTAGGACAGTTTAAGACGGCCCCGTGGAGTCCTGATTTACAGAGCTCCGATTGCCAATAATTAGACCACGCTTAGGTAAAAGCAAGAGAGCGCTCCCACGAGCTAAGGTGAGGGTGACACAGACACAGTGGCCTGGTTCCACACCATGCTGTTGGCCATTCCACGGCTGTAAAACGCACCCACTCCTTCACCATGCCCTCCTGTTACAGCCACTAAATACAAAGATCTTGAAGGCGAAAAGCAGACGTTAACTCAACGCCATGGTGCCAAGGCTGTCTAGAGCTGGCGAGAGAAATGCTTCCAGCTCTTGGGCAGTGCATGCATTGAGATCCCCGGCCTCAGAGAACCTAAAATGTGCTGTGCTCCGTGTAGCCTGCACAATCAACCACAAACTCAGGATTGCTGCGGCTCATACACATTTCAACTTGCAGGATTTCTTTCCATAGCAGGTCGAGCTTGTGAAGGGTCTGTTGGGACAATGAGTGGGGAATGGGAGGGAACTCACTAGATCATTTAGGCTGAAATGCATCTGAAAACCAGAGCTATTGGAATCTTCACCTCCGTTCTCTGCTTTGCTCTGCCTGTGAACTCAAGGACACAGGATCACTGGCAGCATCAACAACTTCCTACATTGTTTTTTTTTTTTTTTTTTTTTTTTTTTTAAGTATATTTTATTGATTTTGTACAGAGAGGAAGGGAGAGAGATAGAGAGTTAGAAACATCGATGAGAGCGAGTCATTGATCAGCTGCCTCTTGCACACCCCCTACTGGGGATATGCCCGCAACCAAGGTACATGCCCTTGACAGAATCGAACCCGGGACCCTTCAGTCCCCAAGCCGACGTTCTATCCATTGAGCCAAACCGGTCTTGGCAACTTCCTACATTGTTAACGCTGGTGTCAAACAAGAGGTAACCTCTAAGGTGTTTTGCCGTTGCACTTGGATGTGAAAGGGGGACTGTTTGTTCAAAGCTCATGTTCTAAACCTGTTGGCGATTTTTATCTCCAGTCAGATTGCCATGGTTTCAGCACATTCCGGTTTACTTAGTAAAATTCTGCCCTTGTGAAATTGGCTGCCAACGAAGTACCTAATTCCAACTTTAGGCATAATCTGATTAGTACTTTTCCTGTTATAATAACGAGCAGCAAATAATCAGCATTTTATTAGAAAATTTTTCCCTCCAACTTCTGGCTCATAATTAAAACCGAGCTCTTTCCACTTCATCATTCTGTACCTTTCCAAAAATAAAAAATAAAAAGATGGCTTTGGAGGTATATTGCCACACAACACCCTTATTAACAGGCTGTTGCTTGCTGCAATTTACATAAACTAAGTGTGCATCCCTCTGCCATGTATCCCAAAATATCCAATCATGGAATTCACACCAACCAACAAGCATGTTGATTTTTTTTTTTCCTTTTTGGTACTTCAATGGTGAAATATGTTACTGTACTAGCAAACATACCCATGCCATCTGTCGGGTGAGAGGAAGGCAGTTTCTAAGAACAATTAAGTTTAGTTCCGGGTGTTCAGCTAGAGAGAACCCCAGCCCACCCGGTTGTGAAAAGAAAGAAATTGGGTTCATTTCGCTCCCTGCCTTTCCCTCTCTCTCTCCTCCTCCCCTCTCTCTAACTTCTTGCTAACATCTCTCTCTCTCATCTCCATTTCCTCACTCCCTTTCACGTTTCTCTCTTTTTCTCCGCTCCTGTTTGGCCCCTGACATCCTTTCATTTCTGTCTTGTTAGGGGATTAGCAAAACACAGCCCAGCAGCCACCATCTCCCCAGAAGCGCTGGCTAGGTGATCTGCTGAGATTATCGGGAGCTGAGTGCGCTTGGAGAAAGAAGGAAGTGAAAACGAAAGTAAAAAAAGAGGCCACTCACAAAAGATCTTTTTTGGGGGGCTGGGGTAGGGGGATGTCAAATTCTGGTAGCAAAACGGGTTGTTCAAAATGAGGTTTAGAAGGAACCGCGTTCTAAGCGTGCTAACACGACGGGATGGCTTTGGTGAGCGCTTCTCGTGTGGGATGAACTTGTTCCCCCAAGAACTGACAACCTGGAAAGGTGGGGATAATGGAGCGAAGGCCTTTAGCAGCAGTTACATTAGGTCTCTGCAGACTCATCAGCACCGTGTGCTCTGCAGCGGGTCTGATTCCAGGCGGGCCCTGGGGAGGCCAGGGAGGGGAAAGCTGGCCCGGGTCCGAACCTTCCCAGGGCCCTGGTGGGAAAAGGGGGTGCCAGCAAAGTTCCCGCATTCAATCCATATTCCGTGCCAGGGGCTGCTCGGTGCAGTGGACCGGAGGCTAATGAACTTGTCCTTCTACATAAGCCACCGTATTATGGGACTGTGTCTGGGCCAGGAACCAAGGCGTGCGATGATTTCAGGGCCTGGGTCCCTGTCACCTGGGGAAGAGGCATGCTCCGGTGACGTCAGAAAGCGGGTAAATCAACCATCCCCGGGACCTGCGGACTCCGAAATTAAAGGAGAAAATATGCGTGCAGTTGGTTCAATTGGCACCCATTAAAGCTAATAACTAATCATCCTCGCGAGTTTCTAGCTCAGAATGATCAAATCTGCAAAGAAAACAACATCCGTCCACTTTTACACTCCAGTGGAAGAGGTGGTCCCTCGCGGCGGGGTGGCACAGTCTCGCCATCTGGAGAATAAATCGAGTGTGAAGTACAGTATAGTTTGGGACCAAGCTCCGTGGCGGCAGCTCAGCAGTCAGTTCATTAGTTCCAAACTTCCAGGGATTAGAGCCGCATCAATTCTACTGTCGGATAGGAAGAGACAGCCCGGATTCAGATTCAAGGAGGATTGTGACAACCGGGAGGGGCCCCTTGGGCTTATTTATAAAACTACAAAGTATAAACAGACCCAAATAAGTGCCTTAAATAATAGCATTATCACAGTTTCATAACATCTGAATTAACACCTTTCCCTTCCACACACCCCCTCCCCCCCTACACACACACACACACACACACACACACACACACAAACGCACACACTGAAACCTTGTATGTTAATGTATAGTTATTTTCAGAGGAAATCGCAAAGACTACCCGGATGCAACAGGAGCAATGAGAAAGAAAGCTGTGCAGCCGGACCTAGATTTGGTGATTAAGAAATACCAAAGACTTTCTAGACTCCAGGGAGATGCATAACACTTGTGATTTTTAAAAAATGTGTAATTAATATTTTCATCCCGCAAAAGGCACACTGCCACGCTGCATATCCAAAATGATATGCGAATCCAAAATGATAGTGAGTTCTATCTTTTCTGAATTGGTCCGGCTCATCTCATTCCCATTTTATCTAATTCCTAAAATGATGTCACAGGCATGGAGTGGAACAAATTTTTGGCAGAAGGGCTGTATATCAGGATCAATATAATTTTTTTTTTTTAATTTGAGAATGTTTGAAATAAATTCTGAGAGAATCGTTCCATTTAAGGTCTCCTTTAACTTATTTTCATACATTTATATTAAAAAAAAACAGAAGTGCTTCTGACATAAAAATGTCATAACTAAGTGAA